TGGGTAACAAGAGCGAAACTCCGTCTCAAAAAAAAAAAAAAAAAAAAAAAAAAAAAAGAAGTCCAGGAAGTTAATCTTCTCCTGGACACTGCCTGGCCTTCTCGGTATTTCTCTCCTGCCCTGGAGGCTTGGTGCTTGTTAATTCTCTCCCCTCAGAGTCTCCCTTTCTAGGCCCATCCTGGGAAGGACCATTTTTGGTCATTCTGTCCACTCCAATGGCAGTTAAGGTAATGGAAATTAACTCATGGATTCATCACACTTGGTTGAAGCCTTGGACACCTCCTGAGGAAAGTCATAGACCCTCCACACCATGGCCTGAAGTTCCAGGAGACAGCCCTTCATCCACCTGCGAGTCATTAGAAGATCTACATCTGCTTTTCCAACAAGATCCCCAGGGAAGTAACCACACATAAGTCTAATTCATATCCTGGCATTAATAGGACTATAACCCTCAGCTTTGCTATCTCTCAAACTCCAATTATCCTTTTCATAGTGGGAAAGAAACCTGTCTCTTCCTAGGAAAAATGCTGCTATGTTGTAAACCAGTTAAGTGTTCTTTTAAACATAGAACTCAGGAATCAAACAAAAAAAGGGCTAAAGACCTTCAAGAACCTGGCTCTGTTCTCTCCTAGGCTCATTTATAGCCATTCTATCTTCGTTGGCCTCTGGGCTTTTCATCTTTAACCACCTTGTCACATTTGTTTCTTATAGAACCATAAGGTCACACATAATCCTGCCGCTGGAACCCCGGAAGTCCTTGGCTCGTGGGCTCTCTCATGGACCCTTAGATCATCCTGCACCCCTGAAAGTCTCCCCTCTGGAGGAAACCTCAACTGCAGGGCTCCTTCTATGCCCCATTTCAGCAGGAAGTAGTTAAAGACCTATCGATGCCTGTGTTCCAACAGAAGTTGGGCATTCCTGTTCAGAGCGGGGAATGAGGGAACGTGTTCTCTTTCCAGCCCACAGGAGGGCGTAGCTTTAAGGGCAAGAACTTCCCAGCACCATGCCCCCCTCCCATCTCTCTCCATCTGGGAGATTTAAAGTTTATGTTTGAATTTCGTGGGCACGGGAAGAAACTAAGAGTCAGTCACTCCAGCGGAAGTTCTAAGGAACTCCTTTCATTGGCTTGGGGGTCTTAGAAAAAGTGGGGGTTCCACCCAGGTTAAAATTCCCCTTCTTCCACACCCCTTCGGACTCCATGTTTGGATCCCTTTCCACAAACGCTCTCTCGTGGAAGCCTGTCTTCCCCTCCTAGACTCCATCTCTCTCTATTCCCTTCTACTCAGTGTGGAAGCTGCTTTCCTCTCCTGAATTCCATCTTTCTGGATTCTCTCACTCAGTGTGAGAGTTAGCTGTTTCTTTTTTTTTTTTTTTTTGAGACGGAGTCTCACTCTGTCACCCAGACTGGAGTGCAATGGCACGATCTCGACTCACTGCAACCTCCGCCTCCCAGGTTCAAGCGATTCTCTTGCCTCAGCCTCCTGAGTAGCTGGGATTACAGGCATGTGCCACCTCGCCCAGCTAATTTTTGTATTTTCAGTAGAGACAGGGTTTCAACATCTTGGCCAGGCTGGTCTCGAACTCCTGACCTTGTGATGCACCCACCTCGGCCTCCCAAAGTGCTGGGATTACAGGCGTGAGCCACCGCGCCTGGTCTGAGAGTTAGCTGTTTCTTTCTCTCTCCTTCTCCTGTTTCTCTCTCTCTCTCTCTCTAAACAAATCAGTTTCTACAAAACAACAACAACAATAAAAAAAAAACAGTTGAATGGATAGAGAAATGTAGAATATGCACAAAATGGAATACTATTTGGCCTTTAAGAAGGATGAAATCCTGTCATTTGTGACATGGATGAACCTAGAGGACGTTATGCTAAGGGAAATAAGGCACAGAAAGACAAATACCTCATGAGCTCATTTATATGTGGAATATAAAAGCATTGAACGTACAGAAACAGAAAGACGAATGGTGGTTACCAGGGGCCGGGAGAGGCAGGCACTGGGGATGTTGGTGAAAGACACAAAGTTTCATTTAGACGCCAGGAATAAGTTCAAGAGAGCTATTGCACAGCATGGTAACTATAATTAATGGTATATCGTCTACTTGAAAGTTGCCAAGAGAGGCTTTGTTGAATTGTTTGACACAGGATCTTGCTCTGTCAGCCAGGCTAGCGTGCAGTGCCGTGATCACAGATCACTGCAGCCTTCACTCCAGGGCGCAAATGGTCCTCTTGCCTCAGCCTCCCACGTAGGTGTGCATCATCATGTCCAAGTTATTTTTAAACTGTTTTTGCGGAAATGGTGGCCTCGCTGTGTTGCCCACGCTGGTCTTGAACTCCTGGGCTCAAGTGATCCTCTCACCTCGGTCTCCCAAAGTGCTGAGCTTACAGGCGTGAGCTACTGTACCCAGTCAAGAGGGTAGATTTCAAGTGTTCTCACCACAAAAAAAAAAGTATGTGAGGTAATGCATATGTTAATCTTAAGTGGATTGATTTAGCCATTACACAACGCATATATGTACACCATAAATATATACAATTTTTATTTATCAATGAAAAAGTAATAAATGTTACAATAAAGATACTTGTCTATAAGAAAAACAACCTGAATCTTATCTGACTATTGTCTCCCACCCTACTAACACTCCCCTCCTCTCCAACCCTAGCCCTGCCTGTGCCTCAGTTCGAGGTGCTTGGAGTAGGGATGAGGGTGACATCTTCTGGTCCTTCTTCCTCCCAGCCCCTGGCCCTGCCTCTGGCTCCTCTTGCTTATCTCCCTGATGCAGCCTCCTTTAGGGCCCACGTGTTCTGGTGCTGGGGCAGGGAGGCAGGTGAGGGACAGTGCCGAGTTTTGAGGGATACTGGACTTTCCCTTACGGTCTTTTGGCTGTCCCTGTTTTTCTGCGTGAAGCCCCCAGGGCCTTCTGGGGGGCAGCACCAGGGTGCCTGCTCCCTCTTGCATGGGGCAGTGTTTATTTTTCAGGAGCCCTGTGGTGAAAGGGCTCCTCACTTCTTTCCTCGTCTTACTTTTCCTCCTTTCTGCTCCAAGAGTTTGGCCGGGGAGGGGTAGCTGGCTTGGACTCATCTTGCCGTAAGCCCCAGGCAAGGAGTAAATAGGTGGCCCCTGACCGAGCCAACTCTCTTTAAAAGGTGGAGCGTTTGGCAGTGTGCTTGCCTCTGTGTCCCCTGCCTTGGGCACAAGGGAAGTCTCGAGTGTGCCCTGTGAGGCAGGAGAGTGATGGGAGAGGAGGCTGCCTGCAGCTCACTCGGGAGTGGCATCGGGGACTGGGGAGGAGTCACAGGTGTGCAGAGCCTCTCAGGGTAGTGGAGATGGGCAGCCCGGCCCCTCTGTCCCTCTGCCTGTCACTGACAATGTGGAAAGGGTAAGTCCGTGGGTGAGCAAAGGGACAATGTGTTGCAATTCACCTCTCCTCCAAAATAACAGATGATAACAGGATCCAGCATCTCCACCGCTGTTCTCCATGTGTGAAATGAGTTTAAATCCTTCATTCAACTTGAAAGTCTTAACATGCCTTTAAAGTGTTTGGGTTATGATCACCTAAATGTCAAAGGACATTGGAGACATTGTAGGCTTGGCTGAAAATTCCGTAGTCAGGTCAGCAGAGGTCGGGGGTGGGGGTAATCCAGGTCTTCTGGCTGCCCCTCCTCTTCCCACCTCCCTGCCTCTGGAACCTGCTTTACCAAACACATCACCTCTCCTATATCACCCGATGAGAGCGGCTCCCTGAAAGCATTTCAGGGGGTTGTTACCAGCATATCAACAACTCCAAGGCCAGACCTGACTTCCAAATTATGATGAAATTGAGTTGAGTTTTGGAGGCCTGGCCTCTTAAATGGGTTGGTGAAAATGACTGGGGCTTTCTCCTCTGCTTTTAGCAGGTCGCCGGTAAGCCAATAACTACTCTCCCTCATGTCTCAACTTCCACTTCCATGAAAAAGGGGTGCGGTTGACATTTTCACCAAGCCACAGCCGTCACCCACTGCAACGCTGAGGCTGTACACGGGTGGCCCAGGCAGCAAGTTTCTCCCAAACGCTGTTGAACTGGCGCTCTGCCTGGAGTGCGCTAAGGCCGATGGCACGAAGCACAAGGTCTGAGGCAGGCCTCGGGCCACGTTCCGCAGCAGTTAGGAAAGCAGGCGGCTCCTTGGGTGCAGGAAAGACCAGAGGGAAGGCTAGAGAGAGGAACCCGAGCTGCTCAGCTGGAGGTGGGACCCGTGGATGTGGGCAAAAGCGAGGTGTACTTCGAGGAGTCACACCCTTCTCACTGTCCAGCCCAGATTTATCCCTCATACCCCTCTCCAAACTCGCTCTCCAAGGACAGGGGCAGCAGGGGATGGGGCAGGCCTGCTTTGCCAGGTCCACGTCACCCTGCCTCTCCCACTGAGCCCGGAGCCAGGCTGCCAAAGCGCCAGTAGGTGGTGGAGAGAACGCCCGCAAGCCCGACGAGGCGCCCCGCCTCTCTCTCTCTTTTTTTTTTTTTGAAATGGAGTTTCGCTCCCGTTACCCAGGCTGGAGTGCAATGGCACGATCTCGGCTCACCGCAACCTCCGCCTCCTGGGTTCAGGCAATTCTCCTGCCTCAGCCTCCTGAGTAGCTGGGATTACAGGCACACCCCACCATGCGCAGCTGATTTTTTGTATTTTTAGTAGAGACGGGGTTTCACCATGTTGACCAGGATGGTCTCGATCTCTTGACCTCGTGATCCACCCGCCTCGGCCTCCCAAAGTGCTGGGATTACAGGCGTGAGCCACCGCGCCAGGCCCCGCCTCTCTTTTTAAGACTGTGCCCCGGAGCCCGGAATATGCTGGGATTGTAGTCCTGCAGTCCTGCAGCCAAGGGACTAGGGGCGGTTCAGAGACTACAACTCCCAGAATGCATAGCGAGGCACGCACCGCCGAGTTTCCAGGGCTTCGCACCGCCCTCAGCCCTGCGCATGCTGGGATTGTGATACTGTCGCCTCGCCACCCACGGGCGAGGGGTAGTTAAGAGGCTGCATCCCCCAGGATGTGCTGACGGCACCCGTTTGCACCCGCCCCCTGCGCGTCTAGAGCGGGCACCCCATGCGGAGGAGATCCTGGCTGTTCCCAAGTCTCGCCTGCCTGTCGGGAGCCTGCGCGGCCCGGGCAGCAGATCCCAACCTGTGACTGTGACGCGGCCCCTGCCCGAGATGCTGGCGTCTTGACCTGTGCGAAAGTCTGATTTTCACAAATCCGCACGGGGCTGGGGGCCTTTCGCGTCGTGCCGAGGGTTGCAGCGGTTAGGTCTGCCGTCCCGCCGCCCCGCGCACACCTTTTCTTCCCTCGCCGCGTCCTCTCCCGCATCCCTGCCCCTTCCTCTGCCCCGCGCCGCTGCTGACAAGCGTCGTGCAGCCAAAGGCCCGCGGGCCTACCAGTTGTCAGGCTTTTTGGGAGCCCCTGATGGGAGCTCCCTGGTAAGTGAAACCGTCAATTAACTTCCTAAAATGACAGTACCCCACCTCGGGCATCTTTGCACTTGCCCCTGCCACCTTTTCCTCTGTCTGGACTGTCACAAATCCTCCTCTGCAACCTGAGAACACCCTATTGGTGTTCTGGGCCGGCTGCGTGGCCTGCACACCTGGGCCAGGCCTCTCGCAGGGATGCTCCTGCCACTGTAATAAAGAGGAGAAGACGTCACAGGAAAAAGGCCTGACTCCTTTATACGGTCAGGATACTCAGCCGCACAGAGAAGGGACCCCTCTAAGCCACTTTGGGAGCCACATCTACCACCTCTGTGACTCCCGCACAGCCTGGTTCCCAGGAATCAGGTTTCCTGGTGTTAACTCGGGCCAAGAGGACAAAACAGGACCGTTTGTTTTCCCTAAAACATTAAGAAAGTTTGCATACTGGCTCATGTACAATGTCTTTTTGCCCTGAGTAGGGCTCCCGTAGAAACTCTTTTAAATATCTCTCTGGAACCACTTTTAGTAATTTGTAGTAATTTGCTGAAGGAGCGTAATGGTAATCATCTTAATTCATGTTTTTCTTTTAGTTTTTCAGATTAGGTAATTCATACTGTTCATTTCTGAAACTGAAGTAATGCACAGCTTCAGTTCTGTGCAGGGAGGATACAGTAGGAGAGAATATCTTTCTGGAGAATCACTTTTACTACAAGATTTGTAAAAAACAAATTTATTTCCAAGGTAAGAAATTAAAACTCTAAAGCAAGGCTAGAAAGTCTTCTGCCTCTAATAACACTTAGTCATCTCTGCCTCAGATATGAAATTTTCTCCAAGATAAAAACTCTCATCAAAGATAATCTATTTTCCATTATAAATAGTAAACATTCTTCATTATAAATAGTAAAAATTAGAAATCATAGAAATCCAATCAAAAGCCCTGTCCTGCCAGTTTTTAAAATCTCAATATGGCCTGTTATGGTTTTACTTGGATTTTCTTTTTGGAATTTGTTGACTGCTTGGATATAAAAATTGGGGTTTTAACCAATTTTTGCAAGTTTTCAGCTATTAGTTGTTACTTTTGTACTCATTTAATTTTTCTGTCTCTTTACTCTCTTTCTATGACACAATCTTCCCACAGATTAAGACTCTGTTTATTTTCTTCAAACTGTTTAAAACTTTTTTTTTAGATTGAATAATTTCTGTTGTTTTGTCTTTTTCTAATCTATGAATTAACCTAAAAGTACTATTTAAAAATATCATTATCTCTCTATTTGGTTCTTTTTAATAATGTACATTTCTCTGCTGAGATTCCACATGTATTCATTCATTATGAGAATGTTTTTTCTTCACCCCATTTAATAGCTGCTTTCAAATACTTGACTGCTGATAACAACATCTTGGACATTTTGGGGATAGCTTCTAATGCCTATGTTTTATCTTGTGTATGGATTACATGTTTGTGTTTCTTCACATGTTTCTTAAATTTTAAACTTTTATTTTAAAAACTATAAATAATACAGAGACTCTGGATTCCGTTGTATTCCTCTGAAGAATTTGTTATTTTTTGAACAGGGAGCTAATTTGGCTGGATTCAAATTTAAATACTGTTCTCCTTTTCATGGGCACAGCTAAAATTCTCATTCAGTTCTTATTCCCACATATATCCTATGTATGATATATAGATGTGTGTTTCTATATAACAACATATGACATTGTATCCAGAATTTACCATTGTTATTTGTAAGAGTATTGTTCAGGCTGGGTGTGGTAGCTCACACCTGTAATCCCAGCACTTTGGGAGGCCAAGGCAGGTGGATCACCTGAGGTCAGGAGTTGGAGACCAGCCTGGCAAACATGGTGAAACTCTGTCTCTACTAAAAATACAAAAAAAATTAGCTAGGTGTGGTGGCACATGCCTGTAATCCCAGCTACTCAGGAGGCTGGTGGGAGAATCCCTTGAACTTGAGAGGCGGAGGTTTCAGTGAGCTGAGATCATGCCATTGCACTCTAGCCTGGGCAACAAGAGAGAAACTCTGTCTCAAAAAAGATAAAAAAAAAAAAAAAAAAAGAGTATTGTTCAACAAGCTACTCCACCATTACTGAAAACCCAAACCTCAATCTTTCTATTTGGATTTTACATAAATGACATTATGTAGTGTGTATTACATTATGTAGTATGTTTTACATCTACTTTCTTTTGTACATCATATTTGTAATATTATCAATGCTGCTGCAGATATGTAAGCACTGAGATTACAGCCATGAGCCAATGTGCTCAGCCTAAAATATTTTAGGAGGCTAAGGTGGGAGGAACACTTGTGGCTGGGAATTTTAGACTTGTCTGGGCAATATAGTGAGACACCCTCTCTACAAAAAAATTAAAAATTAGCCAGGCATGGTGGCATGTGCCTTTCTTTCCAGTTACTCAGAAGGCTGAGGCATGAGTTCAAAGCTGCAGGGGGCGACAGTTGCACTCATGCACTTCGGTCGGGGTAACAGAGTGAGATTCTGTCTCTTAAAAAATAATGAAAAAATTTAAAAGAATTTTATATATTATGTTAAAATACACATATTAACATTTTAATCATATTAAAGGTTTTATTTGAGGTGAATTAAGTACATTCATTATTTTGCTACCATCATTTCCATATATAAAAAGCATTTTCCATGTTTTGAAACTGAAACTGTACCCATTAAACAACAGCTCCTTGTTATTCTCCCTCTGGCCCCTGGGGAACACTCTCCTATATGTTTCTATGGATTTAACTAGTCTTTTTTTTTTTTTTTTTTTTTTTGAGACGGAGTTTCACTCTTCTTACCCAGGCTGGAGTGCAATGGCGCGATCTCGGCTCACCGCAACCTCCGCCTCCTGGGTTCAGGCAATTCTCCTGCCTCAGCCTCCCGAGTAGCCGGGACTACAGGCACGCGCCACCATGCCCAGCTAATTTTTTGTATTTTTAGTAGAGACGGGGTTTCACCATGTTGACCAGGATGGTCTCGATCTCTTGACCTCGTGATCCACCCGCCTCGGCCTCCCAAAGTGCTGGAATTACAGGCGTGAGCCACCGCGCCCAGCTTAACTACTCTTAAGTACCACACATGAGAGGAATCACATAGTAAAGAAATCATAAGAATGATAAAAACTGTATAACATGCTTATTAATTTTGAATGAAAACAGAGATCAGTAATACGTGGTGATTATAAATAAACAGATACATGAGAAAAAGAAATAGGCAGTGTGCATTATATTTATGACAATGGGGCCTCAAGTACCATAGCAGTGAATTTTCTGCCCCAGTCACATGGCTGGTCAGTGGTGGAGCTGGGAACCCATGCCTAGCCCAAATGTCACTGAGCCCTAAGGCACTTTGCTCCTGTTTGTCCAGGCACTCAATGTCCCCTAAGATTCATCATGACATGTTCTCCATGGCCTTGAGGGTAGTGTTGCTGACCTGCTTGGATAAGAGATCCAGCTGGCAGGACAGGTTGTAGCTCCAGGACAGAGAGGCACATGTGAGGCCACACCCCAGGTCTCCTTCCCAGGGCCTCCCCAGCCGGAGTGCTGGGCCCCAGGGGTCACCGTGCAGCAGGGCCTAACACTGATCAGAGAGCCATGGCCACAGGCTTTTGGCAGCTGGCCCAGAATAAATATTCTCCATGCCCTCTGCCAATCTGCTAGACCCTCACCTCTCAGTCTCACTGAGCCACTCCATTAACTGGAAGCAGACCCAAAATTGTTCCACAGGCCGAAGGTGATAATTGTTGACAGCCAGCCGAAGCAGCTGCATCTCCTGGAGAACTTTGATCTCCTGCAGCTAAAGGGAAGGACAAGTGGAGGATGTGGGTAGGAGTGTCCAGGGGACAGGCTTTGAATGGACACCCAAAAATGGGTACTCATCCTCATCACCCAGTGGCACTGGGTGTTGCCTCCATCCTGGGCATATTTCCCAGTTATCTGGTGATGGTAAACCCTGCCAGAAAGGATTATATGGATGTGAATGGGCCTGGGATGGGCAGGGCTGGAACCAGGATCCTGAGACTTGAGATCTTTAGAGAATCTAGGACTACACCTTTAGATCTCAGCACTTGGCAAACCTCCTCCCATGAGAGCCTCACAGCAGCCTCTGTGAGTTGAGGCATCAGGTTTCTCTTCCCTATGAATGTTGGAGACTCCACACCAGGCGCCAGTCCCTGCTCCCTGAGTGATGAAGCTGCAGAGCTGCCTGCTTGCAAAGCTCAGTGAGGTTTGTCCTGAGCTGGACTCAGACTCTCCCTCAGGTGGTGCGAATGGAAGGAGAGTAAATTTCCTACTAACCGGACCTGGGTGAAAGATGTTGAAGGGACCTTGTGGGAAAGAGAGGGAACGGGCTGGTTTCTGGGTCTTTCCTCTTAAGGGCCTCTTCCTCTCTCTAATGCCACGCAGCCCCAACCAGTTTTCAGAGTTGGATACAGACAGCCCCTCCTCCAGGAATTGGTTTTTTATTTCAGTCCCCTACTCACACCCTCCATTGTGATAGGTCTCCTGTGTGAACCAGAGCATTTCAATAAATCTAAGATGCAGTGGATGGAATCTAAATCTCAGACTGCAGAGGCTCCATCCTCTGTAGACTTAGATTTATTTAAAAGGTTAAGTGGGCACAGTGGCTCATGCCTGTAATCCCAGCATGTTAGGAGGCTGAGGCGGGTCAATCACTTGAGGTCAGGAGTTTGAGACCAGCCTGGCTAACATGGTGAAACCCGTCTCTACCAAAAATATAAAAAATTAGTCGGGTGCGGTAGCACATGCCTGTAATCCCAGCTACTCAGGAGGCTGAGGCAGGAGAATCCCTTAAACCTGGGAGGAAGAGGTTGCAGTGAGCGGAGATAGCGCCATTGCCTCCAGCCTGGGTGACAAGAGTGAGATTCTAAAAAAAAAAAAAAAAAGGTAGCTACACAGAGTATCCTCCCCAGGGGCATCACTGACTTTTACCTCCCCACTCTTCCCTGATGTTGCCCCAGCTGCTTACCTTCCTTTTCTTTCTGGGTGTTAATCGCATTTCCCTGGAAGTCAGATAGGCAATGTTCATCAGAAAGGCCCCTTAGACTGTGACTAAGTCTCCTCCCACTCCCATGATACTGCATGCATTAATCCAGGGCCACCAGGGTCAGGGATGTGCATAAGGAGGACTTGGGCCTGCATCAAGTTCTGGGTTTTTTTTTTGTTTTTTTTTGTTTTTTTGAGACAGAGTTTCACTCATATTACCCAGGCTGGAGTGCAATGGCGCGATCTCGGCTCACCGCAACCTCTGCCTCCTGGGTTCAGGCAATTCTCCTGCCTCAGCCTCCTGAGTAGCTGGGATTACAGGCACACGCCACCATGCCCAGCTAATTTTTTGTAGTTTTAGTAGAGACGGGGTCTCACCATGTTGACCAGGATGGTCTTGATCTCTTGACCTCGTGATCCACCCGCCTCGGCCTCCCAAAGTGCTGGGATTACAGGCTTGAGCAAGTTGTGGGTTTTAAAGAAAGGGACAGTGGGAACTGAGGCTCAGGGAACTACCGCCCCAACCCTCTCTGATGACAGAAAAACTGACCTTGCATTAAAAAAGTGCTCAGCCATATACAAGCTGTCTGCCCTTGGAGAGGCCTAAGTTTACTCTCCTTCCTGAGGGAGGATCTGAGTACAGCTCAGGACAAACCTCACTGAGCTTTGCAAGCAGGCAGCTCTGCAGCTTCACCCCTCAGGGAGCAGGGACTGGTGGCTGGTGTGGAGTCTTCAACATTCATAGGGAAGAGACACCTGATGCCTCAACTCACAGAGGCAGCCGTGAGGCTCTCATGGGAGGAGGTTTGCCAAGTGCTGAGATCTAAAGGTGTAGTCCTAGATTCTCTTAAGATCTCAAGTCTCAGGATCCTGGTTCCAGCCCTGCCCATCCCAGGCCCATTCACATCCATATAATCCTTTCTGGCAGGGTTTACCATCACCAGATAACTGGGAAATATGCCCAGGATGGAGGCAACACCCAGTGCCACTGGGTGGTGATGAGGATGAGTACCCACTTTTGGGTGTCCATTCAAAGCCTGTCCCCGGAAATCTCATAAGCCCCTGTCTCCTAGATCCTCCTACCCAGATCTTCCACTTGAAAAAGCCAAAGACAGGCCGGGCACGGTGGCTCAAGCCTGTAATCCCAGCACTTTGGGAGGCCGAGGCGGGTGGATCACGAGGTCAAGAGATCGAGACCATCCTGGTCAACATGGTGAAACCCCGTCTCTACTAAAAATACAAAAAATCAGCTGGGCATGGTGGCGCGTGCCTGTAATCCCAGCTACTCAGGAGGCTGAGGCAGGAGAATTGCCTGAACCTAGGAGGCGGAGGTTGCGGTGCGCCGAGATCGCGCCATTGCACTCCAGCCTGGGTAACAAGAGTGAAACCCTGTCTCAAAAAAAAAAGAAAAAGCCAAAGACACTCAGCTGCCTGTCTGCAACTCTCTCCCCTTCTAGCTGGCCTCCAAAAACATGAAGCACCCCCTGGTTAATTCTGCGGTGAGATTTTAACAAGTCACAGTGTTGTGTGGTCCCTGGCCTCACCATTTCCCAAATCCACTCAGCCCAGCTGTCCTAGGCCTTTGCTCTGATGCTTTCTCTTATAGAGGCATTTCAGGGACTGTTGCCAAAGGAGCGAAGGGCTGGGGCAAAAAGGCCCCTTGCTCTTTAGATGCGTAGGCCTCCAGCTGGGAGGGAGGAGCTCCTCCCCAACACAGGGACACTGCTTTTTTGCTGCTTTAGCCTCATCTGGGCTCTCTGTGGCTTCTTCTCCAGGGTGGCCAACTTGAATGTCTTCACCTTGAATGTCTACACTGACCTGGTACTCTGGATAACTGGTATAAGCTGGTCCAGTGTTCCCACCACCTCCAGTAAGCTCTGATTCTAGATTCATTCCCTGCTCCAACACATACTGTGTGTGCAGTCTTGGGCCTGCAGCCAGGCCTCCCTGAGACTGTTTTCTCAACTTGAAGCGTGATGGGAAGATCACACTTGCCCACCTGCCTCACTGGGCCTTGTGAGGACTCAGTTATATGTGGCTGTTATCATTGTTCTCACCATCATTTCTCTCAAAAAGAGCCAGGTGCAACCACTCTCACATTTCTTTTCTCTGAGGCACATCATTACCCTATGAGGTTCATCATCCCTACATTATTTTATGTAGGAAAACAGAGGTTCCAAGAGGGCAGTAGACTTGCCCAGGGCCCTAAAGAAGAGGCTGGCTCCTCCCTGCACCGGGAGGCCCTGTCCTGGCTGACTACCCCACAGTCCCTCACCATCCCTGACTAGGGTCGCGTCTTAATTCCCTATGCTTGTTCAGGTCCTCAGGCAGGCTCAGCTTTATTGAGCAAGAGAGTATTTTGGGAGGCCTGGGTGAGTGGTGCCTCTAACCAATTTGCTAGGTCCTCACCTATCAGTCCCACTGAGCCACTCCATTTAATTGGAAGTAGACCCAAAATTGTTTCACAGAGTGAAGGTGATAATTGTCTGCAGCCAGCTGGAGCTGCTGCATCTCCTGAAGGACTTTTCTCTCTTGCAGCTAAAGGGAAAGACAGGATGCTGACGGGGCCTGCAGCATGCATATAACTATAATTCAGAAAGTTATACACACACACACACACACACACACAAAATATAATCAGAAGGTGATATAATCTTGTATGCAAGGTTAAATACAAATGTCCCTCACGCAGGGACAGGCCTCCAGCACAGGGAGAAATCTCTGCCTGAAAACGCTGCAGCCCCAAACCTGTCACTCTTACCTCATTTAGCCCGTTGTCTAATTACATCGCCTGTCACTCAGGGTCTAAATGGGTGGGGCCTGGAGCCCCAGCCAATCAGTAGTGCTAGCGTAAAAACTGTCCAATCAGGTGCGCAGCTAGAGAGGAAGAGGCGGCTTCTTCAACATGGCGGGGCCTTTGTCTCCTGGCTCCTGGGCTCGGAGCCCAGTTCGCGGCTCCACTGTTCCGTGTCTTCGGCTCCAGGAACTCTTTGGTGAGTCCACTATAGCCCCTGTTATCCTGTGACCTGCAGGGACTGGGAGACCCCTAGGGAGGACGACGGAGCATCCGGAGGCTGGGAAATGGTGAGTGTGCGGGGTGGGTGTCCCGAGAAGGGGGAAGAGGCCGTTCAAATCCGGCAGGAACCGGCTGCCGTGCGGTCTGGGCCTGCTCGTGGCCAGCTCCGGAGTCCGCAGCTCCGAGTCCCCGTGAGCACAGCTCAGTCCTCACTTTCTTCCGCTGCAGATGAGGGGCTGAGCCCAAAGCCCGAGCGCCTTGCTTTATCCATAAGCGCGAATTTCTCCGCAACCCAGAGCCGTTTCGGGGCACCTCTGTGCCGCAACCCCGAGTCTCCTCCAGATTGTGCGGGGCGATGGAAGGGCCACAAGAGGAGAATCCTCCTTTAGGGTCTGGAGTTCCTCCGTAGAAGAAGCAGTGGGCCGCGGGGTCCCCAGTCCCTCCTTTCTCCTTTGAAAAATTATGGCTTTTTTTTGTTTCTTTTTTGACAGTGTCTCTGTTTCGGCTCACTGCAGCCTCCACCTCCCGGGCTCAGATGACCTCCCACCCGAGCCCCCCAAGTAGCTAGGACTAAAGGCATGCACCACCACGCCTGTTTGTTTTTGTTTGTTTTTTGGTAAAGATGCAATTGTCATGTTGCCCAGGTTGGTTTCGAACTCCTGAGCTCAGGTGATCCGCCCGCCTGGGACCTCCTAAAATACAGTTTACAGGTATGAGCCACCGCGGTAGCGTAAATTGAGGCATCTTTAGGATATATTTTGGATGTGTTTTCCAGCCCAAATCTCCTGTTTCAATGTAATCACCGTATTGGAGGTGGGGCCTAATGGAAGGTGATTGGATTATGGGTGCAGATTTCTCATGAATAGTTTATAATCATTCCTCTTGGTATTGTCCTGTCAATAGTGAGTGAGTTCCCTGAAGTCCTTATCATTTAAAAGTGTATAGCACACCCTTGCCTTTTTTTTTCAAGCTTCTTTTTAACTTCACCATCCACCATCCTGGGTGGGGCCTCCTCAGAAGCAGATGCTGGTGTTATGCTTTTTGCACAGCCTGTCGAACCATGAGCCAATTAATTTTCTTTCTTATAAATTACCCAGTTTGAGGTATTTATAGTAATGCTGGAACCGATTAATGCCAACAATTTATTTGCACAAACAGCAGTTTAAGAATCAGAGAATACCCAGCAATGGTTTGTTGTTTGGGGACTTAAAGGAGGGACTTGGAACAAAAGGCTTTTGTAAGAGGTATGAGAAAGCAAATCAGATTCAGTTTGATTGGTTACAGTTACTTACTGCATTTCCACCTATCCAGTGGAAATGTCCTGGTTATGTAATTAGAGCTTCATTGGCAGCTTGTGGTTGGTTAAGCCCAAGTTTTTTTTTTTTTCCTCCAAGTTAGTAATTTTCAAGAAATTACTTCGTGGGAGTTAGGTTTCCTTAGGCAGAATCCCAACGCACCATGGCCACTTCAGCCTAATTGCCAGTTCTTTAATTATTTTAATGCTCCACAGGGTTGTTGGTTTTTTCTGCATTTTTCAAATGTTTGGCAAGCAGGGTCTCAAATCCATGACTGTCCTCCCAGCCTAACTGTTCTAGGGACTGTAGAAAATTATAAATTTCCAATTTCTTTCCCACATTCCCAAATGCCAACTATCCCTTTCAAAATCACATTATCAACTGTTAGTCCTTTATTTAATTTTAAAACAGATGTGACATTTTGTTTATTTTTGTTTAACAGGGTGATGGGTACCTCTTTTTAATATATTTGTCTGTCTGTGAACATTACAGGAGAGCAAAGAGTAATCACCTGACACTCCGACGTAAAGTCTTTCTGCATCTCCTTTCATCTTCTCTAGGCACACACGCCTTACCAGAATGTCTTTGAAACCTTTGCAGGATAATGTGTCCTCCGCCACTCTCCTGTATTTTCCTAGTTCCAAGGTATTAGAACTTTCTGGGGGATCATACAAGGTACTCACAAGGACGATGTCTCTTGGAGTGTCTAGCAAACATTAGCCTCTGGGTCATCTTTCACAGAAGAGCCTGAGGTACTGGGTGAAGCATCTCACAGGAGCAGCTGGATGCCTTCGTTCTGAGAGCAGTTTCCTGATATACCCTTCCTCTAAAAAGCTAACTCCTTTAACATTAAGATTTTTTTTCCCCTCAACCCTAGCTTTCATTTCTTGCAGACACATTGGTGGTCAACCAATCAGGTGCTGGTATTGAGGAGAAAAGGTGCAAATGCATCTTGCCCTCTGGTTTCTCTCAGGCTTGTGAAGGAGAATAGCTATCCCAAAGTACAAGAAAGACTCACCCTAGTGAGGTAGTATATAAATTTGCAAAGCAAAATACACATTCGCCACACGGGGCAAGTGCAGTGTCTTTTGAAAGAGTGGTGATCAAGTACCTTAGTGAGCAGAACGTAGGTGGGAGAATCTCTCAAGTGATTGACACATGAGTGTAATACATCTATGTTCCAGTCAGCACTACTACTCCCTGTGTTTGTCACCTTGAATATATACGTTCACTTATTTTCAACTTCAGTTTTTCATTAATTGTATAATGGATTTTATTATTAGAGCTGAGAGTAAAAAAAAAAAAAAAAAAAGCCAAATGTTTTCTAAGAGAAAAGAGGTAGATTTCAGGAAAAAAATAGTTTATATTCCATTGGTTAAAAATTCTCATTTATTTTTTATATTTTGAACAGAGAGTGTGGTAAGATTCTGAGGTCTGTTCTATTTTAGCATGATTTCAAACAGAATCCCAGGGCTTAGCTTTGGGAGTGCTACCTGGGAAAAGACATAGAGAAAATGTCTCTCATTATGGCTGCAGAAAAATAAATACATTTCTTTTTTTTTTTTTTTTCCCCTCCCCTCCCTCAAAATAAATACATTTCTATAAGAAAGTGTGGTAGATTAACATGTAAATTGCAAACATTTATGAAAACATCAGTTTCTCTCTTGTGCAGGGTGGATAATTTGTGGCAGTGGGCAACTCATTATTTTTTAGAAAAATTTACATTTCATGGGAAGTATTTATGTATACACAGTAAAAGGGTATTTGCCACCATACATACTATCTTTGCTCAGGTAATATATATTCTTGTGTTATTACATTGTTAATATTAAAGCTAATTTTAAGAAAATCTTATAAACAGATGTATTCAATCTCAGTCAGCTTTGACCGGACAAGGTTAAGATTTCTATAAACCTTTTATAACCTTTTAAAATGTTATTTATTCTTTCTCCAACTTTCCATATCCATTACGTTTACCTCATTTTCTTTATATTTTATTCTTTAAATTTTATGCGTCCTTTAACCTCTAAACTCAGCAAAACTGCCTTTTCTTTAAGAAATCACATCCTCACGTCTATTTCTAAAATAATTTTTTTCACCAAGAAACACATTTTCTTTGTACATTCTGTTTGTAAACTTGTTTCTCTCCTTAATAATAGTTATTATCTTAGCCAGAATTTTAGTTTTTAGTAATCTTAATTTATAGCGAAAGCCTGAGAAGTTAGCAATTTTAACTATTATGCACAAAAAAATTATAAATACATATTTTATAATTTTTAGAAACATTGGATTTTAAATGAAAACATTTTTAATGTGGAGTAGGACATACTAACATGTTAAAATGCTAAGATATTAATTTTTAAATGTAAGTTTAATCAAAACATCTTAGAAACCAAAGATGTTTTGATTAAACTTACATTTAAAAATTAATATCTTAGCATTTTATCTTATTTGGAGATAATCTAGATGTTTAATGAATAGCCATCATTTAATGTAGCTTAGCAACGATCTAAGAATATAGTTTCCATAAAGATTTGAGAAACCATTTAACCATTACAAAACATTTAGTACTGTAAGTTTATAAACTTGTGTCCATTTACATCTGTTTTATATATCCTTAACAATTATTTTTGTAAAATCTTATGAAACATTACATTAATCCACTCATTGGAAGTTAAACTTTCTATTATCCATTTTTATATTGCTGTGTTGGGCGGGTATCATAAAAGCAATAAACTTAAATATATGCGTATTTTGCTGAGAAGTCAGAAGACATTGTTTTTTAATTAAACCAACAATATTAAATTAGTCATATTTACCAAAAGATTTACTCAATTCACATATTCTTGAAAAATATTGGGCCTTTTTTTTTTTTTTTTTTTT